AACTGTCGACGAAAGAGTAAAGACCAAAGCTTCAGGATAAGGAATTGAATCCATCATGACCGAACCGTAGGTGAGCTTTCTCCTTCTTTCGTTCCCACAAAGCCTGATCTTGTCCTGCAAGTACAATGGCCAAAGAAAAATTACAGAAAAGAAATCAGATAGTTCCATCCTTTTTTCACAGGTTTAGGGAAAAGTAGCCTTAAGACACAATCCCAGATTAAATCTTTCTCAACACTAGCATGCGCCACCTAAGTTAAGAGCTTCAGTTTTTAATGAGAACAACTTCAAAAGATGTTGCAACTTTCTTTAGGAAGCCATTTTTGCACAAATCGGAGGATGCTGGTACCAAGTGTGTTAAGGGGAGAAAGAAAGCAAGAAACAACAATTGTGGGTCGTTGATTTGGTCTTTAGCAAAATCAAAGAAGGAATAACAGAAAACAGCTCACCTAATGATATTGTGCCGTGAATGCCACATGCACATGCTGTGTCTGAATCTAACCACCTTGAGTTTCTCGGCCCTTTGGCTTAGGATTTGTCAGTTGTATTTCTTGATGGGGGAAGGGATTTGGGAGAGTTGAGGAGACGGAGAGCCACAATCTTCTGGGCAAACTCAGCATCACTCACACTCTCTTTCTTTGGCTTCTCCACTTGTGCCTTTGGCAACTTCATCTTCATCTTCACTTTTTATGTTCGCAATCAGGAGATCAGACTTCAGCTTCTCCTTTGCGCTCATCTTGATTCCCTATCTCATCATTGTCGTTTCACCTTGCTTCCATGTTCTGCCGAAATGCTTCACAGCCTCGGAATCCAAGAGAACCAGACCCGGAAAGTCTTTGACCGCTGTTCCTCTTCATCTTGAAACTCTCCCCATTGGTCTTCATGATTTTCGCTGCTTTCTTGCTTCCCAAGCTCAGGATTTGCTAGGTTGGACCACTAAAAATTGGATCTTTGTCAAGGGACTAACAAAAATGCGAGAAGCAGTTGTGTTCGGTTCTCTTGGGTTAGATCCTAAGTAGCCATGGATTTACGGACCGTTATGTTGGGTTCAACCAGGAGCCTAGTCTCTCAAGATTTTTAAAACCAATGCTGACAACTACACAACCATATCGCTTTCGACTTGGAAAATGTTTTGACCACCAAGAATCGTTTGTGTTTGTTTTCGTAATTGAAAGCGAGATTCGCCCCCTTCTGTTTTGGCAGTAAGATGAAAAAAAAACACTTCATTTTAGGGGAAAATGGCTTTTGCGGTAATCACGCCGAGGATCTGCAATCCCCAAAAATGACTTTTTGTCAACTATCGATCCTCGACTCTCTTGCTTCGGATCCCGTGAAGCGGATTTGACCGAGTCCAAATGATCTTATGCTGCATTGTCCATTATTCGCGTTTTCTCATTTTAGTTTCGGTTCTCAAATGGATCAAATCAATTCCCTTCTTTTTACAGAGGCATAAAAAGGAACAAATAATCACAATTGGATTTCGACCCCCCAGTGGAAAGCAAAAGAGACTTCTCCTGAGGTAAGTGAGAACCTTTTTAGAGCTATTCAGATGATGATTTGCGGAGAAGCTCTAACAAAGAAGTGGCTTTCCGCTTGGCCCTCGCTGTGCCGTTTCTCGAGAGATCCATCAAGGGCAAGACAGCACCCAGTCTACCTATCACTATCACATTCTCGGGGTCTCTCTTGCACAGAGACAGCAATATGGCTGCAGCGTTTTCCCTGTCGCGGGGTTGGTCTGTTTGCAGAAGATGTATCAAAGCAGGTATTGTTTTTGCCTTCACTATTGCTGCCTTTGCGTCTGGGTTACTGGCGAGCACTGAGAGTATGGTCAAAGCTTCATCCACCATCCGGTGGCTGGAGTTTGTTAGCATCTTCACCAGTGCGGTTATGATACCTGCCCTCACGGCCCTCCCTTTGTTCCCTTGATAAATGCAGAGGTTGAACAATGCTGTCGCAGCATCTTTCTTCCCTCTGGCACTTCCGCTCTGGAGCAGATCCACAAGCGCCGGAATCGCACCTGATGCACCTATTATTATCTTGTTCTCATCTGCCAAGGAAAGGCTAAATAGTGTCGCTGCAGCGTTTTCTCTGGCTTCCATGCTTCCACCCCTCACGACTTGCACGATGGAGGGGACTGCACCAGCAAGCATTATCAGCTCTTTGTTGTTTTCATATATGGAGAGGTTTAGAATGCAAGTGACTGCATTCTCCTGCATTGTCACATCGTCTGAGGTCAAGAGGTTCACCAAAACCGGAATGGCTCCTGCCTCTGCAATTAAAATACGATTATCTGTGCTCCTTTTTGACATAGAGCGGATTTCCAAAACAGCAGCTCTGCGATCTTCAATGGATCGGCTGGAGAGCTTACGAACCAATGCCCGAACTGCTGACATATCTCCGCCCATATCATGGAAAGATCCGTCACGGTTTTTTGTCCTCCCGTTCACACAAACCGTCGGCTTCTCAATGTTGTGCTTAGCGCACCACTGAGAGATCAGGTTTCTCAAAACATAGTTTGGAGTAAGCGTAAAGTTCTCAAGCTTCTGCTGGGTCTTTGGGCACGTTAGATTGCCACAGTCTATCCATCTCTGAATATACGACCTCTCATACGTCTGTCAATGAAGAAAAGCATCAATTACCAACTAGAAACGCAGCAAAAGAACAAAGGTTGCCGCTTCAATAATGAACACCAATGCTGCTAGAAAAAAATATGACTTATCATACCTGTCCAGTGAACACAGCAACAGGATCCCTCATCAATTCCAGAGATATCGGACAAAGAAAATCTTCTGGAATTGTGAGTTTATCATATTTCTTTGCATTGTCGGTGTTCTTGTTGACAGCTTTCTCTAATCTTTCCTCATCGGCATCTTTTGATAAATAGAAGGCCAAAGAAACGGAAGAGCTCTTCC